TTTAGAGGGTGGTCAGGGTGAAACCCAAGTGTAGGAGAGATGATTGTGAGAAAAATCAGAGAGATGGGTAGAAGGGTGAGGGAAGAGAACCAAGGAGGGGGGCAGTGTCTTGGGAGGAGGGAGAGGATGGAGGAGGAGAACAAGGAGGTCAGAGGGGAACAGGAAACATGATCCACAGGAGCGATAGCCAAAGACTAAGGAATCACAGACTTCAAACCCTGACAGGCTGGGGACAAGGAAGTCACTGTCCATTGCACATGGTTGGAAGAGGGTCCTGGTTGGAGGCTGTCTTCCAGTGGCTGCAGAAGGCACCATAAGGAGACTGTTGAGGAGAGGCCTGGGATGGCTGTTAGAATGAGCATCAGGTTGAGGGCAGCAGGTTAGAGGTGCAGTGAGGGGCTGTGGGCAGAAGGAAGAAGCCAACAGTGGCAGAGAAGGCATCATGGTTAGCCCAGACTCACTTGGGTTGTGTTCCCTGAGACCTCTCTCTGACCCACACATCTTCTTCCACACAATCCCTTTTGCAAATAATTTATGGTTTGGGGGTTGGCCATGTGGAGCATGTGGTTTGTCTGTGGCCCCACAGTGAAAGAAATACAGGAAATAAAGAAGGTCGGTTTAGATGACAAAATTTTTCCTGTCCCACGTCAGTGACATTAGCATTCAATTACAGGCTCTAGGGTCCTCTGCTAGCTCAGTCCAGAACGGGAGGCTGTCATCATTGAGAAGCTAAAGCCCAGAGAGGGGCAGTGACAGGTCCAGGTTCATACAACCAGTGTTTGGGATTATTGCCAGGCTGGGAAGCCAGTGTTTCAACTGAAAGCCCCAAAGTCTGCACTGTGGCAGTCTCATCTTTATACTACTGGGTTCTGCTTTGGTTTCTGTCCTCTCTCTGGATGTGGGACAAAGAAATCAAGAGCCAAGAAGCTGTCAGGGCTGGTCCCAAGCCCCAGGAGGCTGGGAACCAAAGCTCCACACCCATGTAAACACAGACCAGCTCTGATACCTCTTACTTGGCAGTGAATAGCTTCCTCCAAATCAGTTCTCGGCTATTATCTTCCTTATCCTCACTGGTCCCCTAGGAGCCAGGGAGGGGCAGAGAGTATTAGCCCCACTTCATAACTGCTAGAAACTCAGACAACAGGGAAGGCAGTAATTTGCTCAAAGTTACCCAGCAAGTAAGGATGGGGCTGGAACTAGAGACCAAATCTCCTAGGGTGTGTGTGTGTGTGTGTGTGTGTGTGTGTGTGTGTGTGTGTGGTGGTGAGGGTAATGATCATCAAAGAATGTAGCCTATTGCCTGGCAAAGGGATGAGTGGGTTGGGCACCCAGTCTCCAGAATAAAGAGCCTCCTGTTGTACAAAGACAACAAACTCACCACTGCTGCAGGGACAGCAATGGGAACACTGTGTTAGCTGATTCGGGCTGAAGAGGAAGGCAGGCAGAAACAGTGGAGTCTCATCAGGAAACACAGGCATGAAGGAGGAAGCTGTAATGGACAGGTGTCCCTGTGTGGGGTCCAGTTATCTGCTTTCTAGTTCCAAGAGGCCCCTGGGAATCTCTAAGCACACAGGACCAAACACTTTCCTGATGCCCCTCGATGCTGGGGTCTTGGGTTGGGGAGAGGCATCTAGACACCTGGGGAGATAGGCATCCTGTTGCAGGTAAGGGTCAAGGAGGCATGGAGATGAAGATGATGATGATAGAGTCCATCTCCCAGAGGGCTTACAAGCAGGTTATTGTACACCCAGAGTATTATCCGAGGCCCTATAGTCTGAAAGTGAGTCCCACAGTCATCGTAGGTGCCCACCCATCCTTCAGCCTCAGTTTGGAAAGAAAGCCCCCAAAATGTTCCAGCAGCAGAGTAGATAGCTCAGTGATAGCATCTCCCCAGCTCTGTCTCCCCTCCTTTTAATCCCCAGCCTAGGACTACCCAGACTCTTAAGAGCCCCGGACTGTTCAGCTTTGCCCTCCAAGAGACCTGTTTCTCCTCTCCTCTCCTCTCCTCTCCTCTCCTCTCCTCTCCTCTCCCTCTCCCTTCCTTTCTTTCTCCCCCTTCTTTTTAAGACAGGATCTCTCTATGCAGGTTGCCCTGGAACTAGCTATAAAGACCAAACTGGCCTCAGACTCATAGAGATTCTCCTGCCTCCTCCTTCCAAGTGCTGGGGTTAAAGTTGTGTTTCACTAGGCTCAGCTTGAGACCCCTTTCTCAGAGCAGGACCTTCAACTCCCCATGCAGAACTCTGAGAAGAGGCTTAGATTCAAGATCAAGAGACCCAGAACAGGCACTTGATAGACATAAGGTTGCCTAAGTATTGCTGCATACAGGGACAGAAAGCAACAGTGCTTAGACCCAGGAAGTCACTCCCTACTGTTCACACTGACTCATGAGGCCCCTCTACTATATTCTGCTCACCTCACCAGGGATCTGGCCCAAGCCCAAGGAGGGCACTGCTGGCGCAGCCTTGCTAAGAGCTGGGTTTCCTGGCAGCCAGGCACAGTGGGCAGGTCTGACCTGTGCAATATGATCTGTGGTTACAGCCTGGGGCCAGGGCTGGTTGCAAAAGGGGCCGGTGCTCCTGACGCAGTCTGCTCTCGGTCTCACGGTCTCACTTGTAAGCTGGTTCCCAGGAGAATGGAGAGACCAGGGAGGGTGCGTCACCTCTGCTTTGGGCACCATTCTGCTCTTATGCAGTAGCAAGGGCATAGCCTCTTTGGGTGTACATGCACTCACATTCACATTGGTCCAGGATGAGCAAGCACACCCAGCACAAAGATGCTCACAGAAGTCAACACAGATAGACTTGAGCTCTGGTAGCAGAGCCTCCTGTTGTACAAAGACAACAAACCAGGAAAGCAGACAGCACCGAAGCTTAGACACCAGCGCCAAGACCCTCATGCTTTCCTAGCTACAGATGCAATTCTATGTAACACACCCTCTTGAGGACAGACCTGATGCAAACACAGACATATGCACACTTTAGGTAAAAATGGCCACCTAAGGTTGGAGAGATGGCTCAGCTGATAAGACCATTGGCTGACTTTCAGAGGGTCCTAGCACCACATGACAGCTCACAGCCACCATTAACTCCAGTTCTAGGGGATCTGTTATCTTCTTCTGGCCGTGGAGAGCACCAGGCACATCAGATATGCATGCAGACAAAACGTCCACACATATAAAATAATTTAAAAAGACGGCCACCCACACTTACATGGACGTTCATATATGTAATTACTCAGACTTTTGTCCACACAGCGAACAAAGCCACACAGAGTAAGGTGCACATGTGAAACTGTATACACACTTATCATTTAGTATTTATTGAATACTCATGACTCATTACTCAACCTCCAACAGAGATAACCTCCTTCCCCCAATCACACGCGTGTAAACTCAGGCTTCCTCAGCATTCACTTCAGATATACTGGGGCCTAGTCACCAAGCCAAAGATGGACGACATGTTTTTCTGCTGTCAGTGACCCACGGCCTTTTCCCTAAAAAAGAAAAAAACAAAACAAACAAAAAAATCCTAGCATAGCTGTATTATCTCTTATGTGGTTGAGGAAGCAACCTAAATGTCTATAGCTGGGGATCTAGCCAAGGATGTTGAAGTCAGGGTCATGCAGAGGTCAGAAGACAACTTGCTGGCTTCAGTTGGTTCTCTCCTACCACGTAGGTCCTGGAGATTGAACAAGAACCTGTCCTAAAAAATACAAAGTGAGGAGAAAAGGAAGTGATGTGTGGGAGATAGGTGGCTCAAGGGTAGATCACTTGTGTAGCACACACAAGAGCCTAGCCTAGGTTCAGTCCTAAGTACAGTCAAGGAGGGAGGAATGGTGGAACTAATTTATTTATGCTTTGGAGGCAGAAGCAAGAGACTCTCATGTTCCAGGCTAACCTGGGCTGTGTAATGAGAATAAATAGGTAAATAATAAGTAGATGGGTAGACAAATAAATGAGTGGATGGAATGTAGCTCGGCAGATAGAGTGCTTCCTTGGCACACACCAGACAGTGGGTTTGAAACCCGGTACTGCAGAAACTACGGGTGGCATTGGATCCCCTTAATCGTAGCACTTGACAGGTAGACGTATCAGAGGTTCAAGGTCAACCTCATCCACTGTAGCAAGTTCAGGGACAGCCTGGGCTACACAAGACCCTGTCTCAAATAAAATAAAATAAAATAAAATAAAATAAAATAAAATAAAGATGGGAGCACTCCAGGCTGGGACTCAGATCAATCCTTGCCAGCCATCATCAGAGAAGCTTCTTCATGCAGTAGATGGGAACTAACACAGAGGCCCATAACAGGACAGTGTACATGAGAGAGCGACCTAAAATCGATGTCTTCATTAAACCCTACCCTCAGGGCTCAGAGAGCTATGAGGAAGAGGAGGCAGAAAGTTTGTAAGAGCCAGTGGGGATGGATGACACCAGGGAAGCGGTGTCTCATAAGGCTGACACAAAAGAACTCTCCGACTGTAGCAGAGCTCACAGCACAGGCACAGGTCCAAGACAAATGGGCTCCAGTGCTGACAGGGACAACTGGACAAGAGTTTCCATCCCTAATCAAAAATCTATCTCCTACTGACATCCACTTACAAAGGAAAACTTACCTTTCTCCAGTGAAGTCTCATTGGGTATATTAACCACACTTTAGGGAAGGCCCCATGCCCCATGGCCAACACAAAACAAACTCAATGGTGTTTTTGTAGACTTTTTGCCTCATATTGCTTTATTTGGGCATTTTTTGTCTTACAGGTATTTTGCATATACATTATGTTCACTGATTTTGTGCTTTTATGGGTTTTGTTTTTGTGCATATGTGTGTATCTTGTGGGGTTTTTGGTTATTGTTGTTTGTTTACCTGTTTGTTTTTTAAAGAAAGAGAGAAGGGGCTTGGGGTAGAGTGGACGGGAAAGATCTGAGAGGAGTTGGGGGAGAGGAAATTATGATCAGAATATATTGAATGAAATTTTTTTTCAATAAAAAATAAAGATAGTCTTCCTTTCAATAACACACATACAAACATTGGGATGGCACAGTAGATTAATATGGTCTCTGTGTAAGGATGACATGGAAATCTGTGAAACATTTCTTATTTTAAAAAAAATAGGGAAGAAGTGGGGGCCCACACCTTTAATCCCAGCAATCGAGAGGCAGAGACAAGGGGATCTCTGTGAATTTGAGGCTAGCCTGGTCTACAAAGAGAGTTCCAGGACACAGAGAAACCCTGTCTCAAATAAAACAGCAACAATAAAAAAATAAGGGCTGGCTCTATTAAAACAGAGAGATGGCTCAGCTGTTGTAACTACAGCTCCATAGGGATCAAATGCCTCTGGCTTCCGAGGGCACCTGCACTCATGTGCACACACCCACCACACCCACACATTCACACACATACCCACACACACCACACACATACACACACACACACACACACACACACACACACACACACACACTTAAAATAATGAAAAAAACTTTAAAATAAATACAGCAAGACTTTTTTTCTTTTTTTGGGGGGGTGGTTTTTTGAGACAGGGTTTCCCTGTGCAGCCCTGGCTGTCCTGGCACTCACTCTGTAGACCAGGCTGGCCTCTAACTGAAGAGATCCACCTGCCTCTGCCTCCCGAATGCTGGGATTAAAAGTGTGTGCCACCATGACTGGCTTTAGACATTTTCTTCTGCTCTTGTGTATGTAGTAATGCTCCTGAAGGCAACCCTAATGAATTACTTGGCACACACACACTCACACTTACACCACACACTCACAGAGAAAGAGAGAGAATAAAATAAAAGAGGAGCCCAGTGGGAGTAGAAGGGGGACAAGAAAGGGTAACTGTGTGTGTGTGTGTGTGTGTGTGTGTGTGTGTGTGTGTTAAATACAGTAAGAATCCATTGAGTACATGTATGAAAATGTCATAAAGAGTGGGGCAGTGGTGGCACACATCTTTAATCCCAGCACATGGGAGGAAGAAGCAGGCTAATCTTGAATTCAAGGCCAGCTTGGTCTACAAAATGAGTTCCAGGACAGCCAAGGTTACAGCAAGAGACCCTATCTTGAAAACCAAAAAAACACAAAACAAAGTCATAATGACATAGCCAATTATTACTGGTTAGTAATATGTATAGTTAATATACATGTATATTAATGTACAGTTAATACATGCTATTGAAAACATTAAAAATTAAAATAAATAAGCAAATACAATAAAAAATTAAAAAACCAACTTGTGAGACTCTGTCTCAGAAAATTTACATTGATATGGACATTCTGTTTAATACACATTCGCACTCATATACATACATACATTTGCATGTAGTCCATGGTTTTATCCAAGTAATAATAAATATTCCCAGAAGTATAGATCCCTGTAGAGTGAGTGCTTGCCTAGGTTTAGCAAAGCCCTGATTTTTATCCTCAGGACTGAAAATAAAAAACAAAACAACAAAAAATTGTCTCAGAAGTAGAGAAAGGCCATACTACATGGAATCAGGATGAGAGAGAAGGATTTGGCCCTGGAAATCCTTCTCCTGTACAATCCTGGCCCTAATCCTCAGTTTCTGGGTCTCAGTGACACAAACCTGGAGCTGAACATGATTCTGATGAGTCTAAACTGCTAAGGGAGAATGGTACATGCTGCCCAAGCCCACAGGGTCTAAGTGTGGGTCTCCTTCGTGAATCCGGGACTCTTCGGTGTGTCTTCCATGTGCTGAGCCCAGTAAGTACACTAAGACACCCAAGCACTTTCTGATGGATGGAGGTACTGGAAGATGGCTAGAGGAGAAACAGGATATCTGAGAGGGGGCAGGAGACATTTTCCAAACTAGACCTTGCAGATTGCAAGCCAAACCTTGGAGTCAAAATCAGTAAATAGCTGGGCAGTGGTGGCACTCACATTTAATCCCAGCACTCTGGTGGCTCTCTGTGAGTTTGAGGGCAGTTAAGAGTAAGTTCCAGGACAGTCTCTAAAGCGACAGAGAAACCCTGTCTCGAAAACAAAACAAAACAAAAACCCAGGAGATAATTGGGGACAAATTGGTCTGCTTCAGAATGCTGTTAGACTGGGAGAGGGGGCTTAAAGGCCCAAGAGAAGAGCTGGGAGTTCACTGAAAACAGGGAGAACTCTAAGAACTGACTTCAGTGTCCGCCAGGGAGGAGCCAGAGGGAGGCAGTAGGGATGTGGAGTGAGTCAACAGAGATCCTGACCAGGTTCAGTGACTGTCATGAGAGGAAGCATGAGGACAGAGGCTGCGACTTCAGTGACTCAGAGATGCTGGTACCATGAGAGAAACCTGAAATTGTGTGTGGTGGTGAAGCCAAGGTCACTTCACCAGGCTTCTTTGCTCCATAGTTCCAAGGCCCCTTGGAATGGTTTGAAGATCAGTCAAGGGTCCCAAGCATCTCATTTTGCAAATATGGAAACTGAGGTACAAAAGGGGGAAATGAGTTGGGTGGTAGGGCATGACTTTAATTCCATCACTTGGAAAACAGAGGCAGGGGGATCTTTTTGAGTTCCAGGCCAGCCAGGGCTATGAAGTGAGGTCCTGTCTTTAAAAAAATTATTTGCCTGTGGTGATGGGTTTCAAGACTTGGACTTTTGAAGTTGAGCCTTGGTCTCTCTCGCCCTAGAAAGGAGCATGTCAGGTTAGGTTAGGGTAACAGCTGGTCCTTCCTACTGCAGCTCATCACCTTCACCTAAGGAGACAGAAAACAAAAGAAGGTGGCTGGTGCTCTGAGGAATGGGAAGCAGTCTTGGCTAAAACTGAACTTGGGATTACCTAAGGTTTCACTTGGCTAGTATTTCTGTCCTTCAATGTGCTCCTGCAAGTGTATGCACTTCCCTCCCCACTCGAGGGCTCGCACACATGCAACGTGAATGTGCTCAAACACACACACACACACACACACACACACACACACCTGTAACTTCCTGGAAAGGGACCTGAGCCCCAGTGGATTGGGATGGGAATGGGTGCTCACCTGGCCCAGCAGGTGCCTCGTAGGCGTTGTAGGTGTACCTCAGAAAGACTTCTATAAAATGTCACCCCTACACCTGACTCAATGGTGCTCCTCTAACCACTTGGTAACAAACATCTCACTTGACATACTGCCTTTTTGTCTTCAGACCATGATTTCCTTAAGGCAAAATAAGCTTTGTGTTCTCCCAAAATGTTTTCTAAAGTTCCTCTTAGTTCCAAACCTTGGATTCCTATTCCCCTCCAAGTCTTCTGCCTGCCAGTGATCCCTCATAGACACAGGATTCCTGGGACCACACTTCTATTTGCATTGCCACAGCCAGTACCCTGACCTGCAACAAATCTCTATGTATGAAGACAGATCCAACCAACCCTAGGCTACACACTTTGGCCAATGATTGAGGTTTAAAGCCATATAGGTTACCCTTGGTATTTAACCTGGGGTGACATTCCCCAGTTACACCGTGGGTCCTGAAAACTGTTCAGAGGATGGGAGGATGGGCTTGAGACTGTCCTAGAGCCCCAGTGCTGAGCATCGTACTCTGGAAAGGAGGGGGGAAGGGGAGGGCCCCACCTACCTGGTGAGGTCATGGGAAAGCAGCTCTGGCGCTGACACCTGGGGAAACCCGTTTCCAGGCTGCTTCCCACGCTAGCTCTCCTGGGAACCAACTAAGCCAAGCCCCAAGCAGGGAGCCCCACACCTGTTCCCCTAGTCCAGTTCCCATCACACTGTCCCATCTGACCCAGCCCCCACCCCTCCACCAAGCTTCAATTCCCCATCCATCTACCCAGTCTTCGGGGCCTTGAGAAAGGTTATGCAGGGCATTGGACTGAGAGATCCAGGAAACCACAGAGACAGCTGCTTCAGAAACAGAAGGCTTTATTTGCAGATTGCATTGTTGACCTTCTAAGTTAAGCTATGACCTTGGGGAAAGGGATGACCCCCTACCCCTTCCTCCTTCAGGCTCTTATCTGCAGCTCCTCCCCCTCCCTATGCGGCCTGGACTCTCACTTCCTGCCCCTCTGCTGGCCCAGCCAGTTTGGGCAGTGCCTAGGGAGCCGAGACCCAGTTCTTCCCAGGGAGCAGCCCCATCCTCCCTGGCCTTGGGGCTTGAGGGCAGCCCAGGTGTCAGCCTTCTCCACAGCTGTCCACTTCTGCTCTCTTTGTCCTTCCAGGCCCTGTCCTCTAATCTGCCTCCAGTCCATCACTTCACGCCTCACTTTCTGTTGCCTGTCTCAGTCTCTCACTGGCCTCTTCATACTCCATCTCAAACCTCTCCAAATCAAAGCTGACCACTTTCCAAACCTCCAGGATGCCTCACTGCTGTCCCCGCTTTGTCACACCTGTGCTAGGACAGGGTGAGGACATCCACAGTGGGGCTTCATTCAACCAAGCTGGCCTGTGGCCCCGTGGTAAGAAACTGGGAATTACATACATCCCAAGCTGCTCAGAGACACCAACGCTGATGTGATTATCCCATGAAAAGCAAAGCTCTGGGATTTTCCTGCGAGTCTTGACCAAAGAAATCCAAATCAGAACCAGCCTCCTTGCAAAGGACAGAGCTCTCACCCTGTCTTTCCAGAGTGTGCAGCTAGAGGCCCATATCCCCTGCGTTCAATAGAGAACTGAATCCCAGGAGCTGTACCCGATGTCCCAGGGTCCAGAAGTCTCGGGCCACCTGCCTACCTCTTGCACAGTCATAACCGCTCAAACAAAGCAGAAGAACTTCTTCCAGCGGCAGCGAGAGAGCGTGCGCACACCTTTTGCATTCAGTTTCTTTTCCAGGCGGGCTTTGTGCTCAATGGCACTGAGAATGGCAGAGTCAAACACCTCCTTCAAGTTCTTCTGCGTCAAGGCTGAGCACTCAA